AGAGAGAGGAACAACAACAAAAAAATCTGGGATAGTTTTATCCAAAAGGGGAAAGGCAGGAATAGTCTCAAAACAGGGCCTTTGAGAAACAGTCTAAAGATACATTGAAGAGAACAATTAGGATTCTTTCAGCAGGATCCAGAAATCCATCACCAAAGTTTGGGCCAGAGATCAAAGACGGATTTAATTTGGGCTCAAACTTCTCCAGAAATCAAAAATGGAGATTAAAAGAAATAGATTAATCTGAAAATGGAGAATAAAGAGAATGTGAAATAGCTATAATCCCTAAATTCAAGACCTAGCTACTAAAGGAATATTCAGACCAAAGGCACTGATGACCATCCAAGGGTAGCTGTTCGGTATTTTTCAAATGAGCCAGTATAGTTCAGCACTGCCCAAAAGAAATATAATGGCATTCATCAGCATGAGAGCATATGTAATTTAAAATTTTCTACTAGCCACATTTTTTAAAAAGCAAAAAGGTTAGTTGGGCATGGTGGTGCATGCCTGCAGTTCCAGCTATTCAGGAGGCTAAGGTGGGAGAATCACTGGAGCCCAGCAGTTCAAGGCCACAGTGAACTATGAGTCCACCACTGCCCTCCAGCCTGGGAGACAGAGCAGGACCCCTTCTTTAAATTTAAAATAAAATTAATAAAACTTTAAGAAACTAAAAGAAACGGCTGAAATTAATTTTAATAATATATTTTTAACCAAAGTTGGGAGTTTCATGTACCAAAATGTTACAATTTCAGTAAATAATCAATATGAAAAAAGTCTTGAGATATTTTACATTCTTTTTTCTTCAGGCTAAGTCTTCCAAAATCCTTTTTTTTTTTTTTTTTTTTTGAGATGGAGTTCTGCTCTTGTTGCCCGGGCTGGAGCGCAATGGAGCGATCTCGGCTCACCACAACCTCTCCCTCCTGGGTTCAAGCAATTCTCTTGCCTCAGCCTCCCGAGTAGCTGGGATTACAGGCATGCACCACCATGCCTGGCTAATTTTGTATTTTTAGTAGAGACAGAGTTTCTCCACGTTGAGGCTGGTCTCGAGCTCCTGACCTCAGGTGATCTGCCTGCCTCAGCCTCCCAAAGTGCTGGGATTACAGGCATGAGCCACCGTGCCCGACCCCTTCATACGTTTTATACTTTACAGCACATCTCAATTCGGGTTGAACATACTTCAAGTGTTCAAGAACCACATGTGGCTTGTGGCTATTATATTGGACAGCACAGATATACAGTATACATATGTGCATATGAGGTCTAAATATCATGTATATTATAAAGAAGGCTTACCTACACAGCACACAAATGATACTGTAAGTTCTTACCTTCAGTGAAGTTTAATCATGCATTGGAACTTTCTGTAAGTGCTAAACCATAGTGGGTTGAGTAGGAAAATACTAGATAAACAGAGGTAGTAAAGAAAGGCTGGAATCTTGGAATACAATCTCAGATATAGAAATACACATTATTGGCTGGGTGCAGTGGCTCACACCTGTAATCCCAGCATTTTGGGAGGCCGAGGCAGGTGGATCACGAAGTCAAGAGATCGAGACCATCCTAGCCAACATGGTGAAACCCCATCTCTACCAACAATACAAAAATTAGCCAGGCGTGGTGGCGTGTGCCCGTAATCCCAGCTACTCAGAAGGTTGAGGCAGGAAAATCGCTTGAACCCAGGAGGCAGAGGTTGCAGTAAGCCGAGATCGCACCACTGCACTCAAGCCTGGAGACAAAGCGAGATTCTGTCTCAAAAAAAAAAAAAAAAAAAAAAAAAAAAAAAAAAATTGTTTTTTACCTTGGGCACAGCAGTGAAAAGACAACTTGAGTTCAATCTACTAGGTGAGACAAAGAGTTGCATAACATTTTCCACAAGAAATGGTACTAATTATTTCACAATGAATATTAATATAGTATAGTAGTTCAATAATGAAACGAAAATGAAAAGGGAGAAAGAAAAACTTACTTAAATTTGTAGCTTTCTCGCTTATTATTCACAAACCCATCTGCCAAATCACGTGGTAAGATAATTTCCAAGCTAGGTATTAATTTTTCATCTTCATCTATGGAATAAATCTGCAAATGTGAAGACAACAAATGGATATAAAATGGTGAAATTACGGCTTGAACTATGACCATGTTATTATGACTTGTAACGATATGAAAATTATAGTCTTAAGATTAAAAAGTCATAATATCATATAATTTGAATAATTTTTCTCTTTGAACTGTGTGTAGATTCAGACAAATATATGGAACTGAACCAGAAGTAAAACCTAAATTAATGCTGTATCAAAGTCAGATCATCTTTGAATGATCTAACATTCAAATATGCACATTTGAATATCTCTGTTATTATTGTCATTGAGAAACTAATAGCCCTGAAAACAACATTTTTTGTAAGTATTGCTTTAGTATTATGTATCAGGAGTTAACATTTTACTACAATCAATAAGCATTTCTGAGCATTTACAAAATACCAGAGATAAAAGGACTAGGTTTGGAGCCATCTCAGATAGCTCACCAAGAATGCTCTAATTCAAGTTATGTTCAAAGAAGCCTGAGGTTCCATGAGACATTTTCAGGCATTTGATAAGAGAGATGTGGCTTCAAAAGACACATGTAATTCATGTATTTGATGTCATTTTCAAGGTTCTCATTCCAGCTCAGCCACTAATTAGCAAGTGACCTGGGAGAAATCCTTTAGCCTTTCTAAGCTGATATGGAAATACAGGGTCTTAACCAACATCCTTAGGACTGTAAAATTCTCTGATTCTCTTCCTGGTTTCCTACTCCATCATTTATTGGCCAGGAAAATTAAGAGTCAAGCCTATAAAGAGGTCATGTAGAATAAATAAAAGCATAAGATTTGTTGTCCCAAGACTTGGGTCCAACACTGAGCTCAATTTACCAGCTGTGTGACCAGCTACCACTTTCAGAATTGAGGTTCCTTATACATAAAATGAGGAAAACAAAATTACCTCCTTTACAAGATTGCTGTGGGGATCAAGTGATGTAATGGAAATGGAAGTATTTTGTAATGCACCATTGGAAAAAAAAAAGTCATTAGATTAAAAAAAATAAAAAACAACTTCTTGTCTTTTACCAGGAAATAAAATTCTTTCTAACAGGCAATACTTCCTGTTTAAGACCCATGCTTAAACAGGATGCTTGGTTATGGGGAAAAAGTCATATTCCTAAGCAAGTAAAAGCCTACCTAAATCTCCAGAAAGTTTGAATAATTTTCTAAGCATATTTTTATTGAAACTTCTCATTTAAAATGTGAAGAACTCATGCAGAAAAGTCATTACATAAAATAAAGTATTTGTAGAACGCAATGGCATCAGGTTCAAGGCTTTCTGGCTAGGTTTTCTCAAGAGAGATTTAAAAAGTATATCCTGTTGGGCACTACATTTAAAAAAAAAAGTTTCATAGCCAGACAGGTGAGTGAAGGGGGTGTATAAGACATGAAACATACAAGAGTGAGGAGTTACACCCATTTTTTAAAATTCTATATTTCTCTGCTCAGCAGACAGAAAAGAATATTAACTGCAGTTAATGACCCTCCACTACTCTAATTAAGACACTCTTTGAGGCCTTAAGAAAAGTCCCTTAGAACCAGGTCACTTGTTTAGTGTAATATTGACTTTCTATCCTTAGTCATAAAAATATTATTTGAGACAGGGAAGTTTTTTTTAGAAGACAGAACAAATGCAAGGATGAATATGAAAATGTTTTGAAATGTATAAAGCACTGTACAAATGAAAAGCATTGCCACTGTTAAAACTAGCAGAGATTCATTTTATATATCCTTTTTATTAATCTGTTATTATAATTTACTTTATGATGCCTTAAAGAATAAAAGTAATACAAGTACTATTATTCTTTAATAAAAGAATAAAAGTAATGAAGCTATAAAATGAAGAGGAAAAAAATACCTTTGAGTCACTCTCAATTTAATACTACAAAAAGCATTTCTAATCAGAGAAAGAACTCTACAATCTTTTGTGGAAAAGAAGATACGGCATTACAATGTGGGGTTTTTAAGGGAAAATAGTGATATACTAGTTCAATATTTATTCATTCCAATTCTCTTTGTGTGTGGGGGGGACACCTAAAAATGTGACACCAAGAATATGACACCTAAAACTACTTCCTGGAGGATCAAACAATCCACTCTACAGACTCACCAAAGAAATACAAAATGAGGTACATTAAAATATCCAAACACTGCATTTTAAGAGAAAAGAAAGTTCAATATTAAATACAAGACTCTCCATCCACTTCCCTGAGCCCCGCCCCTACCCATCCTGTCTCTTGACCTTATCCCAGCCTCGGCTCTGACTGCTGAGTCCATGTAGATAAGCTCAACAGTTTAAGCTAAGAATCTGGGGGGAAATGTTACGTATAATACACTCTTTACATATGATGCACTCTAAAAAGAAATGCATGTAAGTGATTATTAGTTAGAGGAGAGAAAATGGGAAGATACCCATGGTTCTTTCTACATTGTTTTATTCCTATTCTAAATACATAAATTATATGAGGCAAATGGTTAATCATGAGATGCTATGATGTTCCACATAGACATATACACAGTATATATATGGAACAGAAATACAACATTGTTAATATGTTCACTCCATATATTCACAAATATGATCCAAATTGCCCTTGCCTAAATTTTCACTTTGGGGGGCAAAAAAGGTTTCTGAAAAGGGGACAGCTATGAAATAAAAAATTCTTAATTTAAATTACAGCTCTGCTGTTCACAATAGCAAAGATATGGAACCAACCCAAATGTCCATCAATGATAGAGTAATGTGGCACATATACACTATGGAATACTATGCAGCCATAAAAAAAGATGTCATTTGCAGGGACACAGATGAAGCTGGAAACCATCATTCTCAGCAAACTAAAATAAGAACAGAAAACCAAACACCACGTGTTCTCACTCATAAGTGGGAGTTGAACAATAAGAACGCATGCACACAGGGAGGGGAACATCACACACTGGGGCCTGTTGCTGGGTCAGGGGCTAGGGGAGGGATAACATTAGGAGAAATACCTAAAGTAGATAACAGATTGATGGGTGCAGCAAACCAACATGGCACATCTATACCTATGTAACAAACCTGCACGTTCTGCACATGTACCCTAGGACTTAAAAGTATAACAAATTTTAAAAAATAAAACAAATGTTCTAAAATTGAAAAAAAAATTACAGCTCTGCCACTCCCCAGCTGGGTACCTTGGTCACATTATTTATCCTGAAACTCACTTTCTTAATCTGTAAAATGAGGAAAATGACACCAACCTTGCAGGGTTCTTTTAAGAGTGAGAGATAATGCAGGTAAAGCACCTGTCAGGTGGCCATTTCTCAAGATACATAAGAATGACTATGCTCCCTTCTAGGCAGAAGAGAGGATGTTTTGAAACATTTAAGAAGCATACAAAGTGCTGGGTGCGGTGGCTCAAGCCTGTAATCCCAGCACTTTGGGAGGCCGAGGCGGGCGGATCAGGAGATAGAGACCATCCTGGCTAACACGGTGAAACCCAGTCTCTACTAAAAATACAAAAAATTAGCCGGGCGTGGTGGCGGGCACCTGTAGTCCTAGCTACTCAACAGGCTGAGGCAGGAGAATGGCGAGAATCCGGGAGGCGGAGCTTGCAGAGAGCCAAAGACGAGATGCACCACTGCACTCCAGCCTGGGTGACAGAGCAAGACTCCATATCAAAAAAAAAAAAAAAAAAAAGAAGCATACAAAGTGTCATTGCTCAGAGTCAGGACAATGTCTTAACCTTTTTTATACCTTTTTGAGTTTAGCACACTAGAGGAAGCACCTAGTAAATATTTAATTGTTTCTGAATGAAGTACACATGCATATTCTTTGGGTCGGGATGCTTAAGCATCTACATAAATCTATTAATACAAGGAGTATATGTAAAGGTTCACGTTTATGTTGGAGAATAACAACAGAGTCAACAAGTTACTGAGGCCCCACTGGGTGCAAAGTACTACATATGTGTATGCTTTGTGCATTTGTGTCTATCTATATTTGTATTATTTCAGAGGTACATAAACATGCATCTCTTGCTTGCACGTTTTGCCCTAGTGCCAAAACGTACCTTTGAGTGTATCTGCATGTGCGGTGCTGCGTGAGTTTCCCAGAAAGGTGCTATAAGTGCTTATGTGTAGTTGAAGTGCACGCTATACAGGCATACTGAACATGCATTAGTCTGCCTCCGCGTGAACACGTGTGCCCGGGTGCAAAAAAATATGGCACTGTGCCGGGTCTGCGCCGTGCCAGGTGGGAGTGGCCTAGCTGTCGGTCGCGTCGCTGACAGCAGGACAGCAGTGTGCGAGGGTCTTCGCGGCTGCAGAGCTCCTCGGACAGTGTGTGCGGGATTCCGGGCGGCCTCGGCACCCGCCAGCAAGCCCCTCACCTCCGCCCAGCCCCTTCGCGTGCCGCCCGACCCCAGCCCAGGAGGCCCCGCCGCGCCGGCGCCCCGGAGGCTCCAGCCCGTACCCCTTGTTGGTGCTTCCGGACAGGGGGCTTCACCCTTGCGAATATCTGGATCGTCTGCTTCACCATCTCCTCCCTGGTTCTGCAATGACCCTTGACCTCTCTCAGGCCCTGGTTGCCAAAACTAACTTCCACCACCTCCGGCGACCCACAGTCTTAGCAACAGTAGCTAGGGACACTACCCAGTGAGCACCGTGGCAGCCAGGATCCCGCCTCCTCCTTCTAATTGGTCGCGACCCAAAGGAAGCTACTAAGGGGCGGGGCTGGGGCGGGGCTAGGGCGGGGTAGGCGAGGGGGTGAGGGGGAGCGCTGCGCATGCGCAGGAGCGAGTGTCTGGGCTCTGGATTTTGCACCAGACCGGGCCTGGACAGCGTGGTTAAAGGGTAACAACCACCATGCTTTGCCCCGCCCCGCTCATTCACCCATTTTATTCTCCATGCCCTTGCCTTAAAAAAAAAAATACAGCATTGGGCCAGGTGTGGTGGCTCAGGCTTGTAATCCCAGCAGTTTTTGGGAAGTCGAGGTGGGAGGATGGCTTGGAGCCCAGGAATTTGAGACGAGCCTGGGCAGCATAGTGAGATCCCGTCTCCATAAAAAATACAAAAGTTAGCCAGGCGTGGTGGTGCACCTGGGAGGTTGAGGCAGGAGGATAACTTGAGCCCAGGAGGTCGAAGCTGCAGTAAGCCGAGATTGCAGAACTGTTCCGGCTTACTTGGAGATCACAGTCTGAAGGAGACAGATTTTTCTTTTTTTTTTTTTTTCCTTCACAAGGTCTCTCAAGTGACAAGGAGACAGATTTTCAACAGGAAACCAAAACCAAGGAATACAAGCTGTGCTATGATGGAATTAGAAGTAGGGCTAGCTCTGTTTTGGAAAAGGATAAAACTGGATAAAAGGGACTGTTTCCCACACAACGGTCACGGCAAGAAAGGATGAGCTTTTCAAACACTGTTAGCACATGAAAAGATAGTCAACATTATTATCCACGTGGAAAATATAAATTAAAACCACAATGAGGCATCACTATTCATCTATCAGAATGGAAAAAAAAAAAAAAAGTGGCAACACCGGATGCTGGCAAAGATGTGAAGAAACTGAATCAGTTGCACTTTACTGGTAGGAATGTATAATGTAAAACATACACTGTTTAAAGGTACAGACACTCTGGAAAATAGTTTGACAGTTTGTTACAAAACTAAGGGTGCAACTACTCTAAGACCCAGCAATTGCACTCTAGGGCATTTATCTCAGATGAATGAAAACGTGTGTTCACACAAAAATCTGCATATATGTGTTTATAGTTTTAGCACCTTTATTTGTAATAGCCCCAAACTGGAAAAACCCAGATGTTCTTCAGGTGATGGTTTAAAAAAACTGGAATACCATTCAGCGATTAAGAAGGAAGGAAGTGTTGATACGTGTAACAAATTGGATGAATTTTCAGGGAATTATGTTTCATGAAAGAAGCCAGACTCAAAAGTTAAATACTGTATGGTTCTATTTGTATACCATTCGTGAAATGACAAAATTATAGAGATGGAGAGAAATTACTGGTTGCCAGGGAGGTGTGCAGGGTTATAAAAGAAATCCTTGTGATGGGCTGTTTTGTGTCTTGACTGTGATGGTGGCCACAGAAATCTACACACATGATAGCATTGCATAGAACAAATTACACACACGTTCAAATAAGCACGTGTAAAACTGGCAAAAGTCAAATAAAATTGAATGAGATTGATGGACTGTATCAATGTCAATTCCATGATTTTGATATTGTACTATAGTTATGCAAGATGTTACCACTAGGGAAAACTGGGAGATGGGTATACAAGTTCTCTCTGTATTATTTTTTACAAAATAAAAAGTTTATTAAAGACACCCCTCTTCCTTCCTTCCTTCCTTC